GACCCTCACATTAAGTTTAGCATGGAGCTAGAATCCACATCGGGTACACTAGCTTTCCTTGACTGCATGACACACAAGAGTGGTGGGAAATTAAAAACCACTGTATACCGGAAATCAACAGATAGCGATGCGGTCTTAAACTACTCCTCTGCACATCCAAAAGCAGTATATGCTAGCATAGCTTCAGCGATGTTTAGGAAAGTGAGAGCACTGTGTACAGAAGAGGTGAACCGAGGAGCAGCACAACTTGAGGTAAAAAAGCGACTTCAAGATAGCGAATACCCAGTGGGTCTAATTAAGCGGCAACTAAGACGGGTATTGGTGCCAACACCGATGCCCAACAAGGAGTGGATCGGAACAGCGGTCATTCCATACAAAGCAGGATAATCTGAAGTCATTAGAAGGGTACTGAATACGGCTAACATTAGAGTAGCTTTCCAGAAGGGAAAAACTTAACGCTCGGTGTTGGTGCATTTGAAGGATGCCTTCCGGTTGATAGGACTAGGATCTGTGTATGCAGGATAAAATGTAACGACTGCACAAAGGTCAGACAGCCAGGGAATTGCACACCAGAATCGGTGAGCATAAGCGTTCCATTAACAGACCACCGAGAAACGCAGAGGAATACCAGGCGTTAGGCAAAGATTCAGCAATGGCAGGGCATGCTCTAGATACTGGGCATAGGATAGATTTAGAAAATGTGGACATCCTGAGACGGGGTTCAAGATTCACACCACAGCGACTGGTGGCCGAGGCGGTGGAAATCGCCAAGCATGCGAGTGTGAATAGAATAGAGAGGGTAGAACTTGCAAACGTGTGGAGAGCGGTCCTAGATCAGCCGAGATGACACCAGGCGGTGTGCAATTATCAGCGAAACCGTCTGGGTCTAAAAGTACAAAAATCCAAGTAGAGTTAGATCCAATTAACCACCTCACTCCCATCCCCAAACCATTGTCCCAGCACCCTTGGACGAACACAAGTGAACGAAATCTGCGAACGACCCCAAGAGGAATTTTCCATTAAGGTGTCCTAGACTGAAGAAGCAAGGACGAAAAAAATCCGGGTTCATCATGAAGACGAACCCCCCTAACCAGTCTATCGTAAATCTTAGTCATCCCCACTAATCAACAAACAGGAACATCTGACTAAACACCCAACACTGATCACGTCACTAGCCTTAAAACCCAATCAACCTACTTACTTACTTACTCACTTGGCCTGACGATGCTTTTGTGTCAAAAGCGAAACGTTGCCCAGCAATAAATCCACCAATTGTTTACCAAACCCCTCTGAAACGATGGCTACAATTCTTATTGGGGGTCGAAATCGGTATCTATTATCCTCACAAAGATGCAGTTTGGCTCATCCAGTATTTTCCCACTCATATGACTAGCCACGGGAAACTGAATTCGTTTTCACGTCGGCTACCCTGTGAAGTTCGTGATCGAATAAATACATATCCAGCTTCCAGTAACCTTCGTTGATCGGCCATTTTAGTTTCATTTCGAACATCTATGTGGATGCAGCAGCGTCTCATGGATATATGGTATATATGGTATGGAATATATGGTAATACGCTTTTCGATTCCGTCACTTCTATCATGTCCAGAGGAGTTATGTCTTTATAGATTCTGATTTGAAGGCGACATGTCTTCAGTGCCGTTTGTGGTTGCTAACGGCGCAGTTTTCAACTCTCCCGAGCCTTCTAGCCGTTCCTGATTTTTGACTCAACTGTCTGATCTGTAATCCAACGGCCAATTCTTCAGGCAACTTTACGGAGACGACTTGAGAGCCCGACCCACTTGATGGTTTGTGTCGCTGGCGTAACTGAGTCGCATCGGACTCGTGGCCTCTAAAAGTATTCTGACGGTACGAGATGAAATACCAGCGGTCAAAATTAACCAATAAGCGATCAGAGGGCCAACTTTTTCACAACTTATGGCTAACCACCACGATATGGTAGTTTTCGATGGAAGGTTGATGATATACAGTGACTAGAAATTGTATGATGCCGTTTTTGTCCTTTTGTGGTTCATTTTTATTCAATTACAAGCGAATAAGTTTTTGGAAATTGTATTCCTACTCCCCATCAATCTTTTTTATATTTCACGTTTTCAGTGGCATCCTCAGGTGATATAATAATGACGACGGAGTGGTCGAACTACTATGCTTCCTTGGAACAATGGGTTAAAGAACAGCATCAGGCCCTCTCGGTTTCCGAACAACAGATGCGCCAGGCTGCAGAAGAACAGAATCGATGGTGGAGAGCCAGTTTCCTTGCACAAAAACAGTATGAAAAGGAAATGCAGCGATTTCAATTGCGTGCGTCGCAAAACTTGGCTGCCTCTCAACGACACTCGGCCGCTCAAGTTGATAACCGTCATATCCCTGTGCAGTGTAAGCCCGTCGATTTTCCATTCATGTACTCTATTCGTTTCAGTTCATCGTTATATCATTCCGCATCCATGGCGCCGCGTAGCTGCTGAGATAATAGACTCGCTTATATTGCTGGTGATCAAAGTAGCAATCATTTACTGGTTAAGTGGAGATACCTCGTCTTCAACGTATGTTTCATCACTCTCCCTCCGCTAATCCACATCAGAGGATTTTCTAGGCTTTTCGGATTCAACATATTCCCTGCTTCCGAATATAGAACTCTACGCCGTGCACGAATCTGGGCCAAGTCCGAATTGCGAAAAAGCGAATTGTTCCTGACCAGGCTGGAACAGTTACTTTTTGGTGGTGATGGTGAGCAAGATATGTCCGATGCTGATGGCGATTTGTTTGATCTTGATCTTTTGCTGATCGTCGATCATATTGGCCGCTTTTTCGGCGCCATTATCGAGGTATGCTTAAATTTATCCTAATGCCGATGCTGTTTTGTATTTTCCTCTTAGGAACTCCACATCATAAATTATTGTATCCAATTTTAGCGCAATCTTGTTTTCCAGTTTAAGTTCCTCAGTGCGCATATTCTCTCCTTCGTTTTTCCGGGAAGTTAATAACTAATACAACAGTTTTGTACGTATCCAGAGCCAATCAAATCCTGTTTTAGTAACGTCTCATGTGGCACGTACTTTTTCGTACCTGGGTTGGTTACGCTGATTCGGGTGCCACAGAATGTAGTGCCTTCGGGGCTCACATTCCTGCGTCTGACCCACAGTATGTACGCATATATTATATATATTACGCATGAATGTGCGGTCATACAAGCCGATTGCTGTCTAGCTCTGGTGGATAGGGCATTTAATCAAAAACACGTCACTCCGCGGTGCTAGGGGAAACAACAAACTTCTGGTGCACAAACCTTGTCCGGCCATCACCTTTGAGTTTCCTCCTCGTTTTTAGTGAGATGGAATTGTGAACGTAATCTAGGTTATGTGCCCAAATTGCTGAATGCGATCCTGAATAATCTAGGTGATGGAATTGGATGTAGGATTGCCTAGTCTTTGTCGTACACCTGACATCCGTCTGCACTTTCCGGTTACTTCGTTACCTTTCTATTGTGCTAACAGGTGCTATGTGTGGGTTCCATGCTCCTATTGTTATCCTAATGCGTTCGCTTTTAGGTACACATTCTCTAGTATGTACAATCGATAGTTGATCCTTCAATGGCTTCATTCCCTTCCTGAACCGCTTCTGTAAGCATAGCTATAGTAGTGTCTAACTTAACGAGTCGTTTCGATTTCCGCGGATAGACAACACTCGATGTCATCTGCTATATAGTTTTTCTAATGTGCGGGCTTACTACACAACAAATCGCCTCCTTTCATCTTTCGTTTTACTACTGTCTACAAGTTAAATAGATCTACGCGGCTGCAAAGCTGTGCAATGGCCGTGTTGCTCGCAGATGCTTCGTAGCCACCCGGATAGCCAAAGAATCTCCTGAATTTTGCGACATAATTGCTTTGCTGACTCTCTTCTCAATGGGTATAGTTCAGTTTACCAACTGTAAACCACTACAGATTTGGAAACTGCGGAAGGGAGCAGTATTGGAGGCGATTCTATGATCAGTTAGTGGATGTTGATTCAGCCTAACTTTTAACTTTTTGGTAGCCATGCGTTCATAACGATAGTTTCAGTGCACGGACACCCTTGACTGTGTTGTTGAGCTACGTCCCCCAGCATCGCTTGGAATGGCTTAGTGAGCAGAGGGCGAATTTTCAGTTCCAATCGCTGCATCTCGTTTGTTCCTGTTTAGGCTTGGACAACCTGACGGTATATCATCCCTCATGCTTATTTCTGGTGGCATGGTAGCTAGGCACCTGGACGAGCATTACATTTTTATTGTTACCATTCAACGCCGATGAGTCCCAAAAACCCAATCTAGTGATACGACAGTTTACAACGTGACTGATTAGCGCAATTCGTAGACTGTACCACGTCTCGTTCACCTCCACTTAATGCATTATTGGGATAAATGAGCTCGGCGATCCAGACGGTCCACGGACATGCGGAGTACACATTCTAACCAGTGTAACGTGTGGAGTTTGCGCAAGTCACCGACCTCTGGGAGTTCCTTCTTCCTTAAACCACCTGGCGTGGCTGTGCATTACTAATCCGACGTTCTAGCCGGGCCCCGTGGTCAAACGCCGAGAGTCTTCGTATAAACCACGTTGCTGAAGCAAAGGACAGTACGGATCTCACTCGCGAGTATGCTCTGACCTTGACAGGTAAACTATCGTCATGCGGAGGATGTAGTTGTGGAAGTTTGGTAGTCTTCCGCCAGTCCACCGGAAGTGTTACAGTTGTCCAGGTCACCCAACCCGACCGACTTGTCCAGAGGCATGAGGTTTGAGTTCGACCCATGCAGTCTTGTAGTGGCACTTTGCATTTTGTGGGTGGGAAGCGCATGCGAAATAGTGCAGCAAACTTACTTGGATTACTTGAATGACTTGCTTTGGAGGGCCAACACCAAGGAGAGGACTAGCGTCTGCGTACTCAGCTTGTGGGAGTGAACGTCCCGGGAGCATCTCAACCGGCTAGATTTCAGAGGGAGACAGCACTAGACGGGAGCAGTGGAGATGGCGGGGTTGGGTTCGTAACACGGACCGTCCAGTTAGTACGTTGGCGTCCTGACCACTCAGCTATCTCGAGCCAAAGCGCATCGTGGATTCTGTGGCCACCAGGCTAATAGCATGACAATTTTCGCATGAATTTCAAGCGTCCCTTTTGTTGATAGGGTTCGCGGCGGAATCGCTCCAGTCTTGTTCATGATTACGTGCGTCTTGTCATCCGCATGTACCCTGGGTGATATCCTTTCGGTATATCCGGCCTGGTATGCAGAAGTATTCGTGCGAATGGGTCCATTCTTGTTCACCTTGCCAGCATGCCAGGATCCAAAGTATCATGTTGGTTGTTCCTTCATGTAAACGTACATGTGGATTAAGTCATCTGTTTACTGCTTTTCAGCGTTGTGATCTAGGTAATCGTTGCTGGTCGCTGTATCCGATGGCCTGGGACCATCCCTGTACCAATCGTGGGCACTGTGGCCTTCTTCTGAGCCTCCATAGAACGTTCTGCGATCATGGGCAGCCCCCGGTGACTATCACAATTGACAAGTTTACTAGTTTGCTAACAGTAATCTTTCTGAGACTCCTAAGGGGCAAGATGGACCAAATGGTTAGATCGCGAAATTACTGACCGGAAGGTCCGTGGTTCGAACCCGACCTCTGCCTCTCGACTTCCCTTGTCTGGGCTTGGGCAACCTGGCAGCATCCCAGCCCTCGTGCCTCCTTCGTGTGACATGGCAGCTAGGCACCGAAAGAGTGCTGCAGCTGAACGATTTTTTTTGAGACTCCTAATATACTAGGTTGCCGTATCACATGCACCATCGCCTACCATTTTGCAGACCAACAGTGATTGAAAAATGTTATCACCAACTTGCGGTAGCCATCAGTGCTGTCGGCGCTACCCACCTATGTGAAGCCAGTATGACCCTGATGTGAACGACTTCGTGTCGTTTCGCATATCGCTATCTCTTAGCATCACAAAATCGATTCTACTGACTTCACCATGCACAGTTCTATCCATTTGCGCAGTGCAATTAAAATCGGGGCCATATCTTGATTGCATTATATCCCGCTGGTGACAGGCATTCTGTAGCTATGCTCTCGTAAACCACGGCGTTAGTAACAGAATTGCTATCTTGCTCGCCACGCTGTTGCGTAACGAACATAGTACTCTGGATGAAGAGTGACCATGATGGTATAGTACTCTCTCCTCTACGTGATAACCCTCATCAAAGCCTTGGAGGCTCCACTTTCATTTGCCTAAATGGCTGATATACTGCGTCACAAGGAGGACACAGCGACGTTACAGCCCATCTAACACGTGTTTCTCACGGTCAGGTGTGGCGAATACTGTTGGATCAGCAAAGTATCAGGGTTGAGGGGCGCAAAGGCTCAGAATCTTCAAAAAAAAAACGGGCATACAAAGTAGACCACTAGTTTTTGTTGAAGTCTATAGAAGATATAGGAACTACCCACTCACAACCGAATTTCCCCTAAACGGTCACAGAAGGACGGTTTTTCCATTTTTGTATGTATTCCCGAAAAGAAACACCCCATAAACAATTTCGACTGAGGGTTCTTCGAATGGGGGGTACCGTATCATATCACCGTTGTTGAAGAATGTAAATTATGTTCAGAAGAAGAGAAATTTCAAATATCTTTCTCTGTAGGCAATTGTGATTAAAACTCGGAGAACATGAAGTTTTAGCGGGATTACGTTTTTGGCTTAAGGACTACTTGTACCCGTCGTATCCAATGAACCTAATGCCTTTAGTATACTCGTCACATCACATCTTCTCAGAGCCTCTTCACATCTGGGGACAGAAGACACTCTGGTCCGAGGAATGGCGTAATCATTCCTCCAGGAAAAGTGCCATAATGTCTAGGAGCTTTGGTCTGAATATCGAAGTCGACTGTCACACAATAGCAACCGACTTTTTTTAGTGCTTCTTACACCATTCAGTTACGCCATCGCCTGCTTATGAATATTTGTCAGGAAGTTGGAAAATAAGCACTTTCTAATGTGTAACGTAACTGTACTTAGCAGGATGGCTAGAGAAGCTACACAGTAACATAAGGTAATACTTGATGACTCGCTATTACTCCAATTTTCAATGTTTATCATTTTGTAGTGTTCGAGTACGTCTCCATCGTTTCATTTTTGGTTCGTATTTGAGTCTTGCTGGCCAGGACTACGATTAGTTTTCTCGACCCAGAGGGCGGGCCTCGATAACGAGCATGTGAGACATCTTGGTACAACTTCCCTCATTAGTCTCATTTCCGAAGGTTACGGTGGGCGGCTACTGTGTTTACTCTGTGTTTACTCTGTGTTTACTCTGTGTTTACTCAGAAAACAATGGCTATGTCCGATTCTAATTCAAAATCTCATTGTTCGACTTTGGGTTGAAATTAAAACTCAACCATTCTTGTCGGATCGTTACTTGGCCGGGTGAAGCCCTCGTTCCAAAGGTGAAACGCTGCCGAGCACTAAATCTGACCACTTTTTAAAGTGTATTTTTCTAAAACGGTGACTTATCGGCGCGATACTGCTCAGTGGCTACGGCGCGGACCGGAAGGTCCGTGGTTCGAACCCATCCTCAGCATCCCGACTGCTCTTGTTTAGGCTTGGGCAACCTGGTATTATCCCAGTCCTCATGCCTCTTTCCGTTGGCACGGCACCTAGGTACCGAAAGGGTGTTTGTTACAACTGAACGATCGGTAGGTTCCAAGCGTATTTCACTTGAGTGAACCACGCTTCCCGTTCTTTCTGGCTTGATAACTTACAAAAGTTGTTTATTTTTTGTGGGGCCACTATAATGCACTTACACCGATATGGTGATTCTGGTTGTATTTCTCGTTTATCGCTGGTCGAATTATTAAGGTCGCTGGAACTAGCGTTGTGCTGACTGTCCTTAGCGGATATGAAATTGGTTTGCCAATAAGGAAATTATCTACTGACCTTATGACCCCCATTGGCATAGCCCTAAACATTGTCCGCATCTAGGGAACTACCAGTGACCTAACCAACAGTTGTGGTGGGTATGAGGTCTCTAGTGACGACTAAACTCCAGTCGGTTGATTTGCACTCGAATCAGTCTACTTCGATCAGAGTGATGGAGGGCAGGTGTCAGTCATCTGGTCATCATTGACAATCACACCAGCTGGTCAGGTTACAAGTTTAGAGCGATGGCTCACATTAGAGCGTGAAATTACTGACCGGAAGATCCGTGGTTCGAAGCCGACCTTTACGTCTCGACTTCCCCTGTCTGGCAGTATCCTAGCCCTCATGCTTCCTTCGGGTGGCATGGCAACTCGGCACCGAAGGATGTTGCAACTCAACGATTTTTTTAGAGCACTGCGACTACTGATGCGCATTGGCTACACGGACAATATGAGCTGCAGCATACGCTTTGGCGTTGGGTGTGGTATATCATATGAATGAATGAGCTATCACAACGCCAGAAAATCCTTCCCCTTGTCGTTTGTCCATCTCACAAACAGTATCCACTCTTAAGCGCTCTGGGATCAGTGCACTTGCCTGAGTCAATCTACAGTCTTTTGTTACGAATGCACGTATGACAGCTTTGGGTCACGTTGTCTATTGACCCAAAACTGTTGTTGTGTTGACCTTCATTGAGCTGTGATCTTCTAAAAGCAAGAGTAGATAGGAATACAACAAGAATAATTTAAAAGGACCACGTTTAGCACGACAGGTTTCGGTAACGCAGCGCAGTGAATCACCAACATACTCGTTGTTCACCACTTCTCTGCGTTTGTGGATTTATTTTCACATAAACCTTCATTTTCATGTAATTCTTTTATGTCGTATCCTTGATGGCATCCCGACGTGATAACCTCCGTGTCTCGCAAATGGCTTGTAGCAATCGGGTCCTTTTTATCCTCTTTATTCCCTCCTAGGCCATCTGCATCAGCCGTTGTTTCTTCGGCCGGGGTCCGGGCGGTGCTACCATTGGAAAATGGATCATGAACTTACGAGTAGTCTCTTGCGACGAGATCATTCCCCTACCGGAAATGGTTGAAGTCGTGCCAGGAAGTAATCTTGGAATCATCAGGTTGGTACAGCCCTTACTCCTTGTTTGTTTACGGGGAACCATTCACTTGTCAAAAACAGCATCGTTCCAACTTTCTGCACAGTTTATTACTTTCTTTTCAGTTCACTTGCTTTGATCCCATAATTTGGGTTAGCAGTTGCTGTATAATTTGGTTGTCTCATAGTTGCGGAGCTCTGAGTTTAATCAGCAGTAGAAAGTCGTCCACAGAGTGGTCCACTAAGATTGACTTTTCAAATTTGATTGCTCGATAAGGCTGGGAGACAAAATTTTGATGAAAAAAAACCGGAAGCACTGATATACTACTTTCATGAGTGTCTGTTGTAATACCGTTCTATGGTGGTGATACGTAGTAACTTCGAGTCATATGGCAGCCACATGCACAGATAAATGGTAATAAATGGTCTTTGTTTACGTGTTTTACAATCGATTGCACGCGAGGCATTCGTAACGAGCACGTGGCAGCAGATCATACGTGACAGTCCACTATATGTGATATACCGTTGGCTGGATATACCAACTTTAGAGTGCGCGCGCGCGCCACTTTCGTTGGATTGGTTGCTGGTCATCCATCCATAACTCTTCTTGATTCGTCGGGTTTTTTGTAGCAATTTATGTAAACATTGGACCACTGTCACGTTTGTCTCATCCCATACACATATTTCCGGTGGATGAACAACAATAGATGTTATCCTACACTTCGAGAAATACACTCATTCGCAAATCAGTTTGGGTCTTACGGGAGACTCAACTGAATCTCTTGTTTGTGATGTCTCCAGGCAACTGAATGTGCTGCACCAAGCCACCTCGTGTTTCAGTCGGTGCGATATTCGAGATATCGCGGTACATGTATATTTGTAATACACTACTCATAAGGTAGAGGATAACGTTGACGGACGCCGAGGACTGTGCCTACCCGATGAGCCCTGAGAAGGGCAAAAACCGGCCGTGGGCTGTCAAAGAGTTTTCAGCAACGTTGTGAGTAGTTTCCTTTGTAGAAATTATCCTACACTTATTTTTTCAAAATTTCCTTGTCCATGGAATCACGACTAATGTGACCGCAACAAACCTATGCGTGTTAGGAATTGATCAAAATGTCGATCCAATCCCTAAGAGTACAGAAAGTCTTCTTTTGACAACAGACCACGAACTGTTTTCAAAATAATGTTTAAAAGATTTCTTCACCCTTGAAGTACTGATTTCCTAGCATCCTTTAAGACTGTCGATTTTGTGACACTAGGATCATTTCTTTTTGCGTAGTGCTGGTCAGCCTATCGTTGCTTTGTGACCGCAAGCGTTTGACCTCTAATGAGCGTTTGTTTCTACCTGATAAGAAGCTGTGAGATTTGCTTACCTAGATGCGAGCCTGCAATCTCACGGTGCTCGCCTTTTATGTCCAACAGATCTCAGAAGACGATTCTTTCGGAAAGAGAACTGAATCACTTCCTTCCAAGAATTATGTCAATATGAGTGACAGAATGTATTCTAAAGCGCTTTTTGAACAGAGGCTATTCCTCTCAATCAGATCTAAGGCATTTTGATCATGCTGGCCACTTTTATGGCCGTTATCTTCCGAGTTCTCGGTTGAACGGATACTTAACATGACATTGCAGTCATCATTGATCCGGTTGAACGTCCTGAAATCCAAGTTGATACATAGTCGAACGCGATGGTTGAAAATCACGAATTTCTGAATAGTACCATTGAAAATTGGGAAAGCCCGTCGCTGCGGACTTGTTTATTAGAAACCTTGGGCAACCGACAGTATCCCAGCCCTCGTGCTTCCTTCGAGTGGCATGGCAGCGAACAGTTACAGACTATTAGACAGGAAAGCAAAACCCTCAAATGCACCTTGTTTTTAAAAATTGAATATCCGTCTTCTTCTTGAACTCGTCTTCTTGAACTTTCCTAGATATTCACTGACTATCACGCAAATGTAAGCGAATGCTACAAAGCAATTTCACAGATCCCTTAGTAAATTCCACCTTCCATTATATCAAGGCGGAGTCCGAGAAACCGCATACTACTCGCATGCCTCATCAGTAGTATCCACTGTTACATCATGACAAGAACCTGTAAATCTGCCCCATCCATCGTACTCATACTTGTGGTATGACGACGATAGCAGCGGTCTCAGCTCACACTTTCCGGCTCATTAGTCAGTGAACGCATCCCTCCATGACCCTCGAGCACCAGTTCACTCTAATTTGCCTTAGATTTCTAGGGAAGCTATTTGTAGTGGCTTAGGCAGGGAGTGGATGAAGTGACACCTTATAGATCTTTCGATATTCACGGAGACAACCAATCATCAAACTATTGATAATGTCTTCATCATAGATATCATTCGTACATCACTCGCCCAGTGGTGTAATTCGAAGAGGGTTCCGCCTGCGTTTCAGATTGATTTGGTTTGTCACCGCTCTGGCATTTAGAACGGCGTTGCCTGCATGGAAAATCTATATTTGTCGTTTTCTTACTTTCAAAACCAGCGTTTCGACTTACGTATCGGCGTCGCTTTGTGAGGATGCCCGTCAAAAGATTTGACAAGTATTTTCATACTCTTATTTTTTCATCACTTAGCTCTTCTGCTGTTGTGTGACTCAACTCTTCAGGAAATTACATCACCTTTCGAAATTAGTTTTGAACTTTCTCGGATCGTTTTCTTTCCCCTTATTCCAACAAGAATGGAGAGTGTTCTTCTCAGACCTTTTCATCGAATAGTCCACATTCACTCAATGAGCAAGACGGTTACGCTAATGGACTTTTTTGAAACATAGTAGCCAGTTCGATGTGATGTTCCTCGTAAGATTGCTGGATACTCTTCAACAACCCACTACCAGGCTCGTCCTCCGGGATAAGCATAGTTTCCCAATTTCTATCAGCTTCGTTTCCACTTGTGATCGCGAAACTTAAGCGAATCTCATCTACTGCATTCAAGCAGTTGGGCTGCAGAGGCTGTCCTACGGTGCGATGGGGCCGATACTCAAGGTATCGGGTTAGTTTTGTTTGATAGGCCACCAGTTGTACGGTCGACGAAAACTCTGCTCCAATCTTCTTCCGCTTTCGCTTTTTGGAGACTCACCAGGCAGGTGTGGTCTCTTACTGCCCAGGTATCCTATCGTGTTTCACACATGGACATCAAATTGGCGTATGTGGAGTCGGGCACACCTGCAAACTGATGTTTAGTTCCTAGTGAAATCTATCGCTTCTCTGTAGAGACGAATTCCCCGGTCACGGACACGTTTTACGTTCTCCAAGGTTACCCTTACAGGAGGGTTGGATGCATCTTCCTTTTACTATACGAATTGTAACCGAAGGCTGTACTGAGCTTCATTCATAAATGCATTCCTAACAGAAACCATCATTTTCAGGAGATAATACACTCGATTTTGTTAATTCTTCTATGGGCGGGGTAATATTCCATCATACATTTAGAGTGGAACCGAGTGGATGGTGAATTGTCAATTCCTTCCCTGTGAGAAGCCAGTTCTCCAGCTCTTCAGATGTCGACCATTCAAAGGTTAATATATCCGTTTGTGTACTTTGCGCCTATCCTAATTACCGGGCAGCACTGAAATACCGGTTGAGAACGCTTCTCCAATCTATTCGAGTGATTTTCTTGACATTTTTTATGCGGCCTTGGAACTTCCACCTAATTTTCTTACAAGTTGAGTTCCACATAACTAAGCGACAACAACGATTGTTGACTTTTCCATTCCCCGCAGAGCTATCGTCCGTTCGGTGTTGAAGAGCACCAGCTTCCTCACAATCTTTTCCTTCATTTGTATGATGCTGTTTCGCTATCATCGTTGCACGTATGATATTATCGCCGGTTCACTAGTGGTCCAACCGCTACCTATCGTCGTCCAGATGCCAGATCAGAACGTGGGCAATGATATGGGGGCAGCTGTCCAACCAAATGAGCATGAAAACCAGCGCTAAACAAGTGGTACGTCATATCTATAGTTTCAGGTGGCTTTTTTTCCGAGCTACGGATTCTCCACATTTGATGTAAACGCTTTCCGAATTACTGGGAGAAAACCTGTTCTCCATATTTACAGTTTTATCCGGTTTGGAGTTTGGCTTAATGACAACCCTCCGGTTAGTTCATTCTCCGGAATTGTGATATATAGATGACCATTTGGCATTTATCTGTGATGTCGAACAGACTCCTGCTCTATTACCCGTTTTCGCTACTAATTATTTCTTGTTAACTACGCATACAGACATCATCCAAATACTCAACCATACTCGCCTCTTTTACTCTGCTACATTCCGTGGAATGCAGATTCATCATGGGAGCATTCGACTAATGGCATTGATGACATTGCGACGTTACGCTAACACCCCTTAGAATCCTCATTGCTCTTGCGATGGGCAGCCGTATTTCACACCAGCTCGAAACTCAGTGACACAGGTCGAGTGCATGGCACCGAAGTGGAACTGTGTGCGCAGCGCAGCGACCGTACGCGATCGGATTCATTCGGTTTCACACAACCGAACTCATAGTTATACCTCTTTCCTTCGCGCGAGGTGGTCGAAGTAGTTAGAGCCGAATTTGCTTGATCGGAAGGTCCGTGGTTCGAACCCTGACCTCTGCCTCTCGACTTCCTGTGTCTAGGCTTGGGCAACCTGGCAGTATCCCAGCCCTCGTGCGACCTTCGGGTGGCATGGCAGCTAGGCACCGGAAGTGTGCCACATCTGAACGATTTTTTAAATATTTTCTTATTTCCTCTTGTTCACAGTGAACCGGGTTTCGTAAAAATATATTCAAAGTGTAACTGCGTCACATGGCATCTCATGCTCCTGACGCTTAATTTAGGTTAACTGACCAGTCGCTTTCTAGCACTTGTAACCGCTTGCCCATTCTACTTGACTACTGAGGAGACATCAATGGTTTAAGTGGCGCGTCCTGGACTGATCACCATCCCCGAAAGATCCTCACATCAACAATGGATGACCGAGTCGAGGCTCAATGCGAGTTCTTTTTTATCCGAATGGCGTTGCAGCTAGAAAGCCACATCTTTTTTATGCCTGACCTAATCGACTAACCGTTTAGCTGTGGTAATCTCATCAGCAGGAGCTCTTCACGACGAGTGACTTTTCTGGAGTTGGAGTACTGGACACGAAACTGCTGCGGCCTTTTCTTCCAAATGGGGTATGAGTTGGCTGTCTTGTGGTACCAATGGACAGTACGTATCCATAGGCTTAATGTTGTGACTTGGTGGACGATCGTGCAACTCTGTACCGGTCCCTTGGCTTCCTGCTCCGTCCACTATGGTATATCACATCCCTCTGTGGAGACAAAGGGAAATTATTACAACTGTATTTATAGGGTAGTCACAGAGTGCTCTACAAGATCGTGCCAGAATCTCGGTGAGGGGGCGAGAGGCCTCGAGTCAAAGGTGCTTGACTCGGATTGGCTGGCATTCTGACCAATCAAGGCATGTCTTCGTTTGGTCGGTGTCCTGCACGTGACGCATCCGTCCGTTCGGTTAGTAGGGACGGCTGGCCTCCGTACACATAATTAATCTGTTTATCTAAACAGAATGACATCCCTAATGAGTCCACAACCGTCCGGTGACCCAAGAACAGATTTGAGTGTTGCCATTAGAAAAAATAGATCCAAGGATACGGAACCGATTGAACTCCTTGGCTGTAGACCTGTATCGGATTTGACTTTGAAAACGTCTCTAATGGATGTGACTGTTTCTGTCCTTCACTCTGCAATGTCTACCAGGTAAATACAGTTTTCTCCTTCGGAGGGATCGACTTTCAGGACAGACGGTCCCTTGGTTCAAATTTTTCACAAAGAAAGGATGTCCCAAGAAAATCCATTGTCAGTAAATAGAAAAACACAAGTGTTTGATAGATAACTACACTGGGAATTCCCGAATAGTTAGCGGGACCCTCTTCGCTCAGCTAATCCCTGTTGGCTCAGAATACTTGACTGATAGCTTATGCGTGGCTGTTGAGCACCAGTTTTTCACTAGTGCTGTCTATGCAAATTATGACTATATACAATTCATTCGCCCTGCGTGATTGGCAGCCAGTGTGCGAAAGAGTGGGTATGATGAGTGGATTCGAGGTTATAAAAACCTGTCAAAGCCGAGCAGACTGATGCTCAGGTTGACTGGACTGAGGCAGGTGAAGTATTTGTCGATCCCTCTCGTGGGATTTCTGCGAACTTTCCAAATATGAGAGAGATTCTATTCATCCTTGTACAATTGACCAGAGATAGCCCAGCGATTAAGGCACAAACGTGGTGACCAGGAAGTTCATGATTCGATCTGAACACAGGCGTCTCGATCGCTTGGGTAACTTGTCAATATCTCAGCCCTCGTGCGTTCTTCAGGTATCCTGGCAGCTGGGCACCAAAAGGGTGTTATTGCTGAACGACTGGCACTTTATTCTTATTACCTTTGTACAAATATGATGTGCGCAATCACATCAGAAGGTAATAAAACTCTCCTTTTGTTCTGACTCAGTTTGCGTAGAATTGAAATTCATCAGACTTAAAAAGGATCACGTTTTGCATTATTTAGTTGTGTACCAGAGGCTACACAAAGCGCATACACAGGTGGATTTGATTACGCAACGGAGTATTTAGAAAAAGTCGGTTAAGGTGGCCGAGCTAAACATAAACGAACGTTCTCGAGAAAAACATTCATTTGTAAATCAATTTGGTTTTCACGAGAGGCTCAACTGAATCCCTCGTTTATGATATTCTACAACTGAATGTGTTGCACAAAGGCCGCCTCATGTTTCAGTTGGCACGACATTCGAGATATCGCAGTAAGGAAACTACTCACAAGGTTGCTGAAAACTCTTCGACAACCCACGACCGGTTTCTCCCTTTTTAGGGCAAATGAGTGTTTTTTCTCGAAAACATCCCAATTTGGGTTCAAGTAGAACATAAAGTTGACGGAAACTTGGGGACTGCGCCTACCTGATGAGCTCCAAGAAGGGCGAAACTGGTCGTGGGTTGTCGAAGGGCTTCCAGCAACCTTGTAAGTAGTTTTCTTTATGAAAATGTAGGTTTTTGTTAGGGGAATCTTTCCGTAGCCGTTGACTGAACCGCAAAGCAACGATGTGTAAGGATTTCTTGAGGGTCTCTTCCCGGAGCCGACGATTCAACAGCCTGATCTGCTTTGCCGCAGGCGCTAGTCTGGTCCGAGGGCGCAGAGACGAAGGTATAGACATCTCACTGCTGATGTTGCTTTGCACAGTAGATGAGTTTAGAATCGCATCGGTTTGGCATATTTATTTGCTTTTCTACCGTATTGGATAATTCACCAGCGGGAACTTTTGAGTGACTGGAGTATGCAATTTTGGGGCCGATTTTTTCTAACCTGCCGTTTTCTGGGAGAAGGCAACATTACTGCGTCCATAAATGTAAGTGCGCTGGTCGCCTGGAGAAAATACCTTTCTGCCTTGACACTTTGATCTTTGGTTTTATTCTCATATCATATTACGGTTAGTGGTAGTAAGGGGGCTCGCTGCTCTTGCTCTCGTTGCTTCAGTTGGCATTTCTGGCATTGTTGGACATGAGCTTCCAGCCAACGTAGCCGGCGGTATCATTGCAACATGCCAGCTAGACTACCATTTCAAGCTGGTTGTGGTGATCGGACTATAACAGAACTACTTCTAGCTAATTGGAACTGACTACTTTTATCAATGTGTTTTGCGAGCATACGTTCCCAGTCCACGGGTCACTCTCACGCCTGAAGTCGTTTCCGTGCTTAGCACGTGTAAAGGTAAAGTGGTAAAGTTGTATCAGTCTTTCGGTACCTAGCTGCCTCACCACCTGTAGAAAGCAAGAGGGCTAGGATACTGCCAGGTTGCCCGAGCCTGGTGAGCAGAAGTCGATATGCCGAGGTTGGGTTCGAACCACGGACCTTCCGACCAGTAAATTCGTGCCCTAACCACTGATCTATCTCGCCCCTTCCTCGACATCAGTCAAGTACTACTCCTTCCCATGATTATTGTACGGAACCCTGTAAGTACCAAACCCATGAGACTTGGATGCCGATTGTGGAAGCAAGGTTAGGTTAGTATCGAGGAGCACTTCTTCGGTTTCTTGTTTCGTCTTGGGTAAGACTTATCAGATCAATGTATCGGAATCGGCCACATATGGCTTTGGTTAGAAGTTTTCAGTCTGTCACAGCTCCTCGGGAGAGCCGCACATATGCACATTATGGAGATGAATAATATTAATCTAATCCTGATTTAATCCATGCGATGAAATCTTTCAGGAAATCGAATTGATTGTATTATTGGTACTCCTGGTTTTCCACAATTCTCTTTGAAATCTGACATGTACCAAGGCTATGCGACTTGGATTTGAGGATGTTGACCGAGGCAGTTGGTCTTAATCTTACGTTAACATTTTTGCTTACTACGTAAGTGAGGAAGCGCTCGACTGTCTTCCTACATCCATTTGGTGGGTTTCAATTGGTTCTTGTCTTTCACAGCTCAGCTGTTGTGCCCCCTTTTCTGGGTTTGATGTGTTGTATGCAACATACTAGGTCTGTCCCAGAAGAATTTACGCCAGAGGCCATGTTAGGATAATCAAATACACCGACTTTGATTGTAGTGGAGTGCGGAATGAATTAATACCCAATGAAATTTCCTGAACCATCGTGACTGTCCTCAGCCCGGACAACCAAATCAGCATGCAATGCTGATTTGGTGTGCTACACAAAGTCTGCCTGGAATTCCAGTTGTGTCGGAAGACACCATCCTTCTCCTGCCGTTCGGCAGGTAAGTCTTATTTAACATATATCAAAGAGCAATAGCCTGGAAGGAACGGTACCTAGAGGCCTGCCACTGGTGATTTGGCTTCCAAATAAATGGTTTTAGGGCATTTTCAAAGTGGTATTGTTTTTCGGCTCTTTTGCTTTGATTCGAATGGTCTGATCATAATGCAATGTCAATTTCCATGTTGATTTCCAGTCGGCAACTCAAATCCTTGTTCCTCCTTGCACTTCGCCACTATTCAGAGAAATGCAGTCGGGAGTTACTTGTCAGTGTGGACTGCAACGAGATTGAACTCTAACGCATGCATTTCTCGATTCCGTCCTCCTACCTTATGGCGTGATGCCATTGTGCAAATTTATCATCCAGTTTCCGTATTTTGACCTGGTACTGTGTTGGTAACTTTATCTCCTTTTTCGTGCTTGCTCTGTTTCCGTCTTCTCCACGCAACTACACGAATTAGAACCAAAGTTAATTTGAACTTCGTCCTCTGCTCAAAAACCACGAATAGGGTATTGTCGGTGGTTACACAATCATTAAGCGGTGCCCATCGTCTAATTTCTTCTCAAATGCAACCACTCATGATGAACACGGGCAGAGGGAACTGGGACAACCAATCGACTCGAAGGGATGCAGTCCACAACGCAACAAAAATCACAAACGGACCAACAATTGACGAGTGTGCTGTCTCCCAATTAGCCAATCACGTTAAGAGGTAACAAATAATTTTCAAAAGCTATATTAACTCACGTAGATACTGATGACAAGTCAGTTCCCAATCTCGGCGAACAGATCAACAACCGATAAACGTGGCCATCTCAAAAGCAGGGTGGATATGAGGGCAAATGTTTAACACATAAACTGGATTCTGTAATTCGGTACCAATAGTTCACTTTGATGGAGAAGCAAATGAGCGTGGCTCTAGGAATATCCGACTAACAAATAAACACGAGGACATTTTCACGGGCGAAGTCACATCCGCTGCTGTAGATCAAAACGTCAAGGCAGTTCTGTCCGTCAGCTGTCTTATCAGTTCAATGGTAGCTTCGTTGAAAAATACAGTGGTGAAACCGACCTAAAACTCGAGGTGCCAGCCAGATTTCACTTGCTTTGTTTATGCCTCCCTGGTGCTTCAGTCGATTAGCGCCTATAAAGCCCATCTTTTGTGTTGTGAGGGCGAGATGGACCAAGTGGTTAGAGCGCGAATTTACTGACCGGAGGTTCCGTGGTTCGAACCCGACCTCTGCCTCTCGACTCCCCTGTCAAGGGTTGGGCAACATGGCAATATCCCAGCCCTCGTGCCTCCTTCGCGTGGCATGGCAGCTAGGCACCGAAAATATGCTACAGCCGAACGAGTATTATTATTATTGATTATTGAGTGTTGTGAATACAGCTCAAGAAGAAACCGCATGTCCACTATTGGTGGTCCGAGCCATGATAGCAGGAACGCCAACAACACGGTCAAGGTTTACATCCTGATCCCTCTCTGTCCGGAACAGAAGAAAGAAACAGATGCGCATTCGCTTGCACAATCACAGTCGTAGTTGTCTTTACGCCTAAATAGAAGCACTTTACTAATTATCCTTTATTTTGACAAGGGGTGTATCGAGAAGTTTTTTTGGACTTTAGCTGAACATCCTAACGTAAAGAGGCTTGTGAAGGTTGCACTGTGTTCTGTTCGTTTCTTGCTAACTTCGAAGCAAGGCTTCCGCGGCAATATTTATGTAGGCGGGCTTTAGCTGCAACTCATCACTTAGCTGGCTGCGAATGTTTCACATATAGTGTGAGTGTGGAAGTCCACCTTTTGGGGATAGTTATTTTTTGCATTCCACCACCTGTTATATGTCAACTCAGGCTTACAATTGCGATTCGATCATGAATAAAAGCTCCGAACGGACGGGAGAAACATCGCGCCCAGGGTGTACACTTAACAGCTTGTAGAGTGTGAAACGTGACACAACTGGATCAGACTACGAATTAGAAAATGATGCACACATGCCTTCGCTATTTTCGTTCCATCGTTGAATACCAAGATTTCGAAGATCATTCTCAGGATTCCACGACGGTGCTGTCAAACCGTTGGCCTCTCAGGAACACATCCTCAAAAACACTTTGCCGGTACCTTGACTGTGCTCGCCAGCTAACCCCCCTCCCAGAAGATCGGCCTCGGAAGAGATTGGGTTGTCTCCTCTAGAGAGTAACAACGGTACCTGTTTTCAAGGGCCAGTATTCGACCAAAACAACTGCTCGGTTGACTCAAACCAGTGAAAACAGCTGGGCCGCCATCCCATGTCTCTACAGAACTGGAAGGCCGAAACTATCAAGATCACTATCATCGGAGACACCCGTGTTGACACCGATGCTCCACTTCCGTACAACCACAGAGTTCACTCATCCCTATTTGTCAATTCTTGAAGCATATATGCATACGTAGTGTTTAGAATAAGATAGCATTGGGAAATATGTATTGCATCCACCCCAAGAGGTTCGAAGTAAACCCAACAACCTCATGCACCTGAGTTGAGATATTTTTAATGCAAAAAGAAACCCATAATCAGAAATTGAGTTAGCTTATCCTTGTTTAAATGTTCAATTGTAAGAAAAACGAACGAATGCTACAATCGTACAAATGTCCTCTGTTTTTCGTTGATGATTTGCATAAATTTAATTTTAGTGAAAGAAACCACGACAACCCCCACCCGAAACGCACCGCTCCCTTCGAAACAACCGCGTTTACGGATGCCAACTACTTTGACAACGGGGTACATGTGGCCCTCCTCTGCAATTGAATGCATCTGTCAGGCACTTTACGTATCACGAGCTGATAGACGAGACAGTAATTAGTAAGCAAGGGGGATCGACTCAAATAAATCGCTTACTGGAAAGAACAACCACCTCGTGAGGGAAGTCGTATGTATGGATGAACACAACCAAGGTTCACCACTAGCCGCTCCATTGTTGTATGACATATGGACCAAATGAATTGAATGCACATTATCATAAAGGAAACTACTCATAAGGTTGCTGAGAACTCTTCGACAGCCCACGACCGGTTTCGCCCCTCTTGGGGCTTGTCAAGTAGACGCGAGTTTCTGTCAACCTTATGTTCTACTTGAACCCAAATTGGACGGTTTTCGAGATTCAGTTGAGTCTCCCATGAGAACCCAATTGAATTGCAAATGAGCATATTTCTCAAAAACAATCTAATTGGGGTTCAAGTAGAACATAAGTTTGACGGAAACTCGGGGACTGTGCCTAACTGATGAGCCCCAAGAAGGGCGAAACCGGACGTGGGCTGTCGAAGAGTATTCAGCAACCTTGTGAGTAGTTTCCTTACTGCGATATCTCGAATATCGTGCCAACTGAATCATGAGGCGGCATGTGTGCAGTACATTCTGTTGTAGAATATCATGAACGAGAGATTCAGTTAAGTCTCCCGTGAAAACCAAATTGATTTGCAAATGAGTGTATTTCTTGAATTCACATTAGTTTTAATTCATGACCAGGATCTACTAACAGCCTCCACCAGAACAACAGCAAGACCGATCGATAACGCAAATCGAGTGCCAGGCGGACTAGGAATTCGCCCCTTTATCGGTCATTTGTGTTGAAACGTTGACCAAATTTGCACTGATCGCGCGCGCATAGTTGCGGAATTTAACTCCCATAAAAATGGCTGCGTTCCTGAGGATGTAAACAAGTATCGCCAGTTGACAGTCGGTGTCATTTAGGCTGATATGCCTCACTACTACCACCACAAAGGAAGAAAACTCAACAGATTCTGATTATTTGGTGGATGGAATACTGTGCCAAATGCAACCCACGGGGCGAGATGGCCCAAGTGGTTAGAGCGCGTGGTTCGAATCCGACCTCCGCCACTCGACTTCCCGTCTAGGCTTGGGCAACCTGGCAGTATCCCAGCCCTCGTGCTTCTTTCGCGTGGCATGGCAGCTAGGCACCGGAAGGGTGCTACAGCTGAGCGCTTCTTCACTTCTTCAATTGGAACTTCCTAAACGGACGAGCGTATTTAGTTGCTACACGCGGCAAGTGATCAAACCGCACGAGGTACACGTACGTATCCGTGCAAAACTAAAGCGGAAAATGCGTAATACAACGAAGCCAGAGCATACTTTTTCCAATGGAAACAACGAAATGACAAGATCGTGTACGAAAAGCAGGAAGCAAATGCGTGCAAGTAATAAAAAAGAAAGTATATGGGACGGGGGTACGAAAATCAATGCGATAAGAAACGAATGAGAAAATATGTGGTCACAGGTCACAGGACAGTGCTTGTCACGATGTATGAGATTGGTTATGAAAAGAATGATTTAGAATACAGCTATCTGATCGCGAGGTCGATCAACCAAATCATCATCCAAGTTCATTAGCATCTGAAAACATAAACAAAGAAAATGTGGAAGCTGAGGAATGATCTATTTACGAGATGAAAAAAGCACGAGTAAGAGAACGCCACAAATGCACAGGAGAATGAACTGAAGAGGAAATGCGTGATGACGGAATACGGGTAAATTACAGCTGGATGTGAGACGTGCTGGAGTTCAGTCTTGTACGTTCACAAAACTGGAATGAACGTTTTAAAAAGTATGGGCCTCAGAATCTGAGATGTCGGCTCGCATCTCCAGCCCTCAATGTAGTGTTTATTCCGTGTATACTCACCACTTCACAAGGTTTTCAAGCAGTGCGTCATATTGTGTGACGACTGATATAAAATACACGATTCGCACGCGAACGCCGCTTAATTCCTAGCTTGAATTAGTGTCCACTATGCGTCACAATCCAATGAACATGGATACAACCTTGAACAGGAATAACGGACTTGTGTTGATAGGCCTACACCCAACAGCTAAAGCTCAGAATTGAAAAAACGACTCGCGTGTTCAAGCCGGTACTCCACGCATCTATGGAGACCGGTATCCTTCGAAATGAATCACTTGAGAACACAAAGACGTCATCGTCGGTCCGTAGCCTCTACTGTTCTTTGACTAAACATCTCCGGCGAAACACTTGGGGTTCCACCTCACCGGCTGGTGAAAGTGGATACCTCTCAGCGACGGCGTAAAACCGAGCTGTAACAGAACTTATCGATGCCTGGTCTCAGCCAGCTGGAGATCTATTTCAGATCGCGAGTAAAATGAATTGCTACTGTTCGCTTCGAAGGGTTATCATGTGCACATTGTTAGTGTTCTTCCTCACGGACGCGGAGAAGGTTGGGTGATCTTAGATAAGAGTAACGTCTTACCAGATTCACCAGATTTAAGGGTGGGGGGGGGGTTAGACGGTGTAACCGAATCTAATAGGCCACACAGGAGGACTTCCATTCGTGAGTAAAACGTCTCTGCTTATCTAACATCCCTGCTCACACACTAATTGCGTCAAAACACTGCTTACAGACAAATTCATATCGGATGCCAGCCAACCAGTTGAAGGATAAAACGACTGACAAAAAGAGTGAGGTAGCATTAACTGGTGTGCTCGTTGAAATCATCATCGACAGCATGGCATCAGTATTCAACACCGATGCCTCACTGTCGTACAACCATGATTTATTTGAAAGCCTTATTGTAAAGAAAAGAGTAAACGTGGACGGGGGAGGGACTTAGTGATAGCTTACCACAATTATTCCAAGGTACTTATACCGCCAGACACTCACTCAGGCAATCTGGATAGAACCTGACAACAAGAACGCCACTGACATCCGTTGGCTCGTTGAAATAGCAGGGAACAAAAGTCTGACTCTTTGAAATCACTGTGTTCAACCGGAATGAACAATTTTTTTGGATTTTATGCCTAGTATCCAAGCAGAAGCACTTAGGTACCCAACAAACGAATCACCCGTTGCTATCCCGTTCAAAAATTCCGATCTGCGTGGGCAAAAGAAAAACTTGTCCGAAGCTCATTGTTTTACTGGCCCAAATGTACTCTGTGCTGGTTACTGGCCACGCAGCCACATGTGGCTCAACGACTGAATCACGCATTGTGCACGTAACCTGAGAGACTACTTATGTTTGATTGGCCGACAGTGTCCGTTCGTTAAGCTGTCAAGTGTTTTTGACCCGCGAATTGTTGTACATTTTGGCTTCACGCTGTAACCCAACACATTCGGTGCCCGCCGGTTCTGCGTCGGCTCCGACCTAGTGTGCTGGTCCGAAGATCAAGAGGAAACATGGCTACCTTGTGAACGTTAGTGGTCGTACCAACCGAGGCTGAGCCACCGGCCTTAAGAACCACATAGGTTGTTTGACTGGCCTACGAACTACATATCCTTATCGATGACCCATCGCTCGACTCTATCTGATAGGCAGATAGCCTCCTTCTATCTGGTTCCTCGACGCTACTGTGCTGAAATAGTGAATAAAATTCACTGGATTAACGGAACGCACTACTCATAAGGTTGCTGAAAACGATTCACAGCATGGAAATAGGCAGATAGCCTCCTTCTATCTGGTTCCTCGACGCTACTGTGTTGAAATAGTGAATAAAATTCACTGGATTAACGTAACGCACTACTCATAAGGTTGCTGAAAACGATTCAACAGCCTTCGACCAGTTTCACCCTTCTTGGGCTTTATCAGATAGGCGTGGTCCCCGAGTCCCCTTCAGCTTGATGTTTCCTTCAACCCAAATTGGACAGAATTCAACAAATACCCTTATTTCCGCATGGATCTGTGTTTTTTTTACAGAAGACTCAACCGAATCCAGCTGAATCGCGATGGTCCACTTCAACTGACTATGCTGTACAAAGCCGCCCCATGAGTAGCGTGTTACGTCTAGACAATCGCGATATATGGGATATCATATCAACTGAAACAAGTGACCCGATGCAGCACATTCAGTTGAGTTTTCTGTAAAAAAAAGACAAAAGTGTGTCGTGAAATTGGACTTTGGACTTTCTAGAATGGAACAAGGGTATATAAAGGATGGATGAATAGTAACGGACGAATTTACTCACCATGAAGGAGAAAAACATGGAAGACGCGGACAAAAAGTGCCATATGTCGTGCGCATCATAGAAATCGAACAACAAGCACGGATGATTGAGAGCTCGTGATTGGGCCGGTGTGACCTAGGAGGGAGAGGGAGGCAGGAACTGACAATGTCACTATAGATACAGCGCGCTTTAAGTGAATGTGTAACCGGGTTTCGAAACGACACACAAGGATGCAAACTAGGTGAACCAGAAAGCTTTTGATTGTAGGCATCTGAAGAAAGCGATATGCGAATATAAAAAAGAACTTACTTCCCACGTGGTGTTTCGAAGGAAGAAAAAATAAATTGCCGCGGACCAACAGACCAGGCCTGCAACCATGTAGAGAATGGGTGCTAGAAGGATCCGTTCTTTGTGCCTTATCTGGAAATGAATCGTGATAAATGAGAGGTTTCAGATTCGTCTTATGCCCACACCGTTCACAGCATTGTGATGAACTTGAGAAGTATCAATAAAGTACGGACCCGGTATTTTCAGTGAGTACCATACTGTTATATCGTGGGTGGCCGTTTATTGGTTACGCCCGCACTGAGCCTGCCAAACTATGCGATAGGGAAAAGATAGAGAACTCGGGACACGGCTGTATTGTCAGGACAAAACATACAGAGCGTCTGAGTAAATATATAGGATGACTAAATGGCCAAATGTGGTCGTTCACTTGTTCGCTCCAATAACGGTGTTCCGGTCGTGAACAATCTCAGGCCCACTACGTCGGTCGTATGTTGCTAAGCCATGTTTGGTGAGAGCCGCCAACTCACCTACTTTCCGGACGTGTCGTACCGAGGCGGACAGATAAAGAATTACCTCTATTAGACACACACACACACGATATCGATTGCCTCAAGAACTCTCTTACATCACTTTCTTTCATAGCATGTGTTAGGCAGGAATCCACACGGACCCCGCTATACCGAACGTCTTCAGGCGCGGCTACGGCCGATAAGCCTGGCCCGCACGAGGTTGGACCAGAATTCGGGACGCTTGCCGGTCCGGTATCAAGGCGAGATCTGATTGGTCAACAATCTGGACCCAACAGCCAATCATGACCCAGTATTGGCCAAATGCCGGTTGCCAATGGCGCATCCAGAACGCGTCAGAACTTCCAGTTATAACCGCTTACGCTATATATACGAAGCTCTGCACAACCGTTCTTGACTTCGTTTGGGCATTAATAGACCTTGTGCACCTTTGGTGGCTGATTTGACGCGAACGCTAGCTTGAGAAGCTCAGACCGAGAACTAAGCTGAGAAAAGTACCGTTACTACAATTGGCGAACGGTAACCCACGATGTCAATCGGATTTGATCAGCTCCGAGAACTATTGCAGCAGCAACAAAAGCAGTTTGAAGAAGCGCACCTGAAGCTCATTGAATCACTCACTCAAACTGCATATCCAGACAGCAACAGTGAGTACTGGTGAGTCTTCTGTTTCCTCAACTCATTCAACGTGATCGTCAGCTACGCACGTAATGCTTACGCATTTCCTTAGGGGAAAAATCATTCAGCTGTAACACCCTTCCGGTGCCCGAAGGAAGCACGAGAGCTGGAATACTGCAAGGTTGCCCAAGTCTAGACAGGGGAAATCGAGAGGCAGAGGTCGGGTTCGAACCACGGACCTTCCGGTCAGTAAATTCGCGCTCTAACCGATTGGGCAATCTCCTTAGAGACTATCGGAGCCTAAGGCGCTTTCCAGTAGATTCTGTACATTTTCTATCAGCATTCCACAGATATCTATCCTATCTAGTCGAATGTAACGGGAACAGCCGAATCAGTCTGGAACCAGTCACAACACTTTTGTCCATTGGTTGTATGCAAGGGTTGATAAATAGGGGCCGGTGGAATATGAGACAAATAGGGCATTACTGCTCCACACCGTGAAGAGTGGTAAGCTGGGGGGAGGGGTGATGAAAGTGCCCAAGACTGTCGAGCGAGTTTCAGCGACCTCATGAGTAGTGTATTACGTCCGGACAACAAGTGTTTTTTTGAGGAAAAACTTACCTTCATGAAAATGTAGAACAGCGTGTAAACCATCATGTTGATCATAAAAACGGACAGAAGGAATGAAGAGAAATCACGAGGACGGGTCGCCACACCGTATCCGGCGCTGCGTAACAGAGGAAAAGCAGTAAAGCGGGGAGAGAAATAAGCCCGACCGTGACAATTTACTGTGTGAAGGAACTAATAAAAAAACACTGGATACAAAAGCTGTGAAAAAAACGTGCATGGGATGTATGCTGTTGCCATTAAACGAGTCCTTATTTTTGCCTTTCAGGTAGGGCATGGACTAGGTGCGACGCCATTTCGCATGAACCATTTGAGGCGCATTGGAGAATTGTCTGAAAACAGCATTGTGCCAAATGGTATAACCCAGAGTAAGGAGCAAGACCTCGAATTGCTCGACATCACGGCTCCCACATCACCTGAATACGTTCTAAACTGATGCAGAAAGATGGAGAAACTAACGGATAAATGGGCGTAAGTGAATCAAGCCACCAGGCATCAGAAGGTGCTGTGCTGGTACGATCGGCTTGCACTGGACACTCTGAAAAGGGGGGACTTCACACGTTCATGGGATTCGAATAACTCTTACCACGAAAGGCAGAATCACTCGTGCGGTAAGGGACAAGGTGTTAAATTAGTGAGTGCACGACCGTTTGGCTCCAAAAAGTACATAGCTGGAGCATGACTTCTCTTTACCTCAAAGGTAAGCACTAAGGATCAATGGAATAAAAAATGCCCTAATTCACGTAGGCCTGTCCCGGCCACCAGTGAACACGTGATTTACGGACTAAAGCATGCCCACAGTCTACCGACAGTGCACAAAGTGCAGTTAGGTCATCATTTGCACTGAATTCCTCCGTCGCGTTATTATTAAAAACATACAACCAGACAGATTGCATTTGGGGCGGTTCAGACACGAAATTACTGACCGAAAGGTTCGCGGTTCGAACCCAACCTCTGCATCTCGACTGCTCCTGTCTATGTTTGGGCAGTTTGGCAGCACCCCAGACTCCGTACCTCCTTCGGGTGGCATGAGGTGTTGCAGCTGAGTGATGGAGTCTTTTGAACTTGGATTCGGCTACATTGAACGATATAACAGAATGGTTTGAATTCCTACCACCCTGAAGAGGTTATTGAAACACCCTATCAATAAACGTGGTGCGACGAAATACATTCACAGTAGTCCTCACCTCCTACAGATAGGAGGGTAATTTCAGCTGGCAGATTACTTTTGTTTCATTTCACTAAACGAGACAATAGCTGATAACTGTGAGTGACCCAAGTCACACCAGAGATGTGTTGAGATTCACTGTGAGACTAGTGGACTAAAGTGGTGTGATTTATCTGTGTGGTTGTACTATGGAATGCGACAATTTCGACCCCGACATAGTAGTTAGATGAGCGATTGGTATTGGAATTACTGCACCTGAGTTGGGCCAAAGTGAGACATAGTTGCTGGCACATCTATCAGGAGAAAATGCATCAAACAAGATTGACTGATTAGTAGAGAACATAACACAAGCGTACGCACCTGAGGACTCACGGAGTTCAAGCATCCCATTGAGTTCATCTATGCAGCCTGATGTCATTTTCCCGATCAACTCACTTTGAAGGCCACTTGTAATGACCTTGAAACTTCGCCAATTGAAGGTGCACACACTTGCCGAATGTTTGTGTGGCGCTAATCTGTTTGACTTCGGCTAATATAGCGGTGCTCCTGTAGAATTCATAGTATTCTGACGAGCATTGGTTGGTGTAATTAATCGGTTTCACACGAATGAAAGGAAAAGTATGTGAATTCCGTCATCCTCATAAATAAACAGCGAGACAAGGACCGAACACGGGTGTACTGATGCCGTCCTATCGTCAGTTTTTACTTTGTTCAGTTGGATCCGTCACGAAGAGACTGGACCTTACCGTGGTGTGACGGTTTGCGCACCTCAGCGATCCATTGAGCTATACTGGAGAGTGTCCCGCGACACTCACAGAGTCTCTCATACCAGGTTGGTCAATGGTTAGAGGTATGACGAACACAGTCTCCTGGCCCTCCAAGTTGGGGGTTGGAACATGTGGCGACTTGTTCCGTAGAAATGATAATGCATTTGCATTTCCCGCCAAACACCGCTGCCTTGCAGTTAGGCTTTTGAGCCAAAGGCTTTGACTGAGGACCCTAATCGTCCTCCTGTCTAGGTGTAGGCGCCCTGGCAGTATCCCAGCCCTCGTACAACCATGACCTACACAACTAACAATATTCTCATGCCACATCGGCAGTCGCGTGGTGCCATCAGCCGGGTCGCCTTACTTGCTGCATACAGAAAGCCGGTAATGCCCGGAGATTATTTCAGTTGATCCGTGCGACCGGTCCCCGGAAACCACCTGTGAGTGAAAGCATCAAACATCAGAATGGAACGACCATCTCTAATAAGGAGGAACGCCTTGACCGGTGGGCTGAATACTTTGAACAACAA